GCTAATGTTCTTCTGCATTCTGCCCTTGTACACACTGAAAAGAAAAAAGAAAAAAAAATTGAGATTCCTGTCAATTTTCCTGTTTCATAGGGAAATATAAGGAAAGGAAGAAGGCTGCATGGACTGTCCTGGCCATTACTGACATCAAAGGATTAAATATGACTTGCTTGCTGTGTCTTGTGATTCCAATCACAGCAATATCTTCAAGCTTTGGGAACAGCACTCTTTTCATCAGTCTTTTAGGTTTTCAAGAAGTTCAAGCCAAAGCTCATTTCCTACAGTACTTGCTGCAGATCTCTTGCCCTTCTGACTATCCTCTGATGAGCATCTAAGCAGTCGCACAGTCAAATCACGGTCTCAAAGTGCTACCACGTTTCTGGTGAAGTAATATTTCAGTTACAGGATCACAGAATTACAGAATCATTAAGGTTGGAAAAGACCTCCAAGATCATCGAGTCCAACCTTTGAGCAACCACCACCTTGTCTAGATTAGAGGTTGTCTAATTAGAACTGGCTGGTTTATTTTTTAAGTAATGTAAATATTTTGATATTTATTAAATAAATATTAATATTAATTAATATTAATATATATTCCTGAACTAAATGCACTTTTAAAATTTCAAATTACAATTTCAATAAAACCTAAAATCCACCAAGAAAAGGAAAGAAAAAATTCAACTGCTACATAAACAGCAAGCTTTCCACTCAAGGAGAAAGCTGACCGTAATCATGCTTACTTGTTGAAAGATAGTGGAAAAAGTTGACTGAATTATGAATGAAATTACATCCCTTTTTTTCTCTCTTTATTTAGCAAAATCTGAAGGAAGTTCATAGGAAAAAATGTAATTGTTTCTCCTGCCAAGGCATATTTTACTATCCTTTATTTTTTTTTTTTTTAGTGAAATGCAGAGACTGAAAATTAAAATGTTTCCATACCAAAAAGGTAAGTCATGACTGGAACTTAGGTGTTAAAGAGAAATAAAAAGCAGTCCATGTCTATTGAAATTCTCTGCTTGTTGCCATGCAGGTGTGTTTATGATGACCTCATAACCCACTGCTAGTTTCCTCTCTTAGCAACTTATCACCCTTGTCTTCAGGAGAACAATAAAAGCTTCCTAGGTCAGCACTGGACTGATCTGACTGTTGCAAGTAAATACAAAACTTGCAAAAACCATTCATTTACAAAAGGCTTCAATTCCACTTGTAATTTATCTATTTCTTATTCACATTTTTCACTCTTTTTTTTTTCATAAATACTATCAAATTACATGTCCATATATTTAAATCTCTTATTTTTCAGTGGGAGTGGTGCAGTTTTCTGTAGACAACATCACAACACCAATGCTTAGTAGTGGGTAGGCACTGTGGTATCACGCTGGCACCTGGAACCTCCTCAAGAAATCTACGCAAATCTGATTATTTTAGAAATTCTACAGAACTGCAGATGTAGTCTTCAAAGACAGATCTCAGAATAATTTAACAGTAGTCATTTGGAAATCTAGAGACCTTTTACCCACCATTTATGAGCAACTAACTGATTTGCTCATAGGAAATGGGGAAAATAAATTCTGAGGGCTACTGAAAATGACGTTTTCAGGCAACTAGCCCAAGGATTTTCAGAATAGTCTGTAAGTACAGTGGAGGAAACTGCCTCTTTGATGCGTATGGGTATTTTGATTAAATGTGCATGCACTAAACTATGTCAAAATAAGGTAGCATGTCAGCTGGCTTAAGAAATAATAAACTACATTCATGCAGTCTGTGATTCTTCTGAAGACAGCACTATTCTTTAAGGGATAGAGTCAATCCAATGTTTCTTTAATTTTTTTTTCTCAAGGCTGGGAGAGAGACCATGAATTCAAAGGCAGGTGGAAAAGCCTGTCTGCCTGGTTTGCACTAAGTTGGCAGTAGCTCTTAGCACCGGGTACAGTAAAGACAAAGTTTGCTGGAGATAGTTTTCAATGGCCAGTTTGGCCAGATCAGACCCTCTTTGGCTCAGTGCTGGCCTGGCCTGAGGTTTACAATGATCTGCTCAGTGGGAGAGAGCAGACATCTTCATTTCAGGAGCAGAAGTTTCCAAGACTGCTTTTCAGAGTCAAGCCTCTTCAATGAAAGCAAGCTTAGCTGATTCTCTGTCCTGAGTACCTTTCTGACTGCTCCTTTCTTGCCTTGTAGACATGGAAACTGCCAAAAACTCATCCAGGGCAAACCCCAAAGACTATCACCAGGAGCTCTCCCCCAGGGCTTTTACCTGCATTTTACCCATGTTTTTCACCACATATGGGAAGATAGACAAAGAGGCTGGAAGATTATAGAAACTGAAGGATCGCAGATTTGAAGGCAACACCCAGCCAAACACTTTGGCTGCATGAGACCTGACTTTTCTACAATCTCTGCCTAGGATATGTGTCTGGATGACAGACAACTAGCCAAACCTGACTACAGGCAACACCTCTGAGTGTGGTCCAGGTGTTGTTTCTGATGGTTTGGGTGTCTTCAAATCCAAGCCCCCTTCACTTCATCTGGAAGAATTCTTCCAAAGGCCAACCAGAAATTGACATCTACTGGGATCCTGACTTTAGAGACATAACATTTACATGTAAAATTTAACAGCTTCCCAAATATTTCACAACTCACTTTGGTTCAAAAGCCTTATGTTTGGATTACAGTAGTTCAAGCAGATGACCATTGTATATATTTTGTTTTTACACTGGATCATTAAAAATCATAACCAGTATCTATAATATCAAACTGAAAAAGGACATTTTCCTTCTGAGCCACTTGAACAAAAGACTCCAGTATAAGCCTACTCCATCTTACCAAACAGATTTCACTTTAAAGATTGGATTGCACCTGGCATTCACTAGTGACGATATGCCTGAAATGATATAGCATATGCTGTATAATACTCACTGTTATGTACAAAATCTGTTTGGCCAATGTTGTTTTTACCAGACCTACAGCATGTTTCTGTCAGGATGGGACTGACATATGAAAGAAAGGAAGTCTTAAACATTTTACGTGTAAGATTTCTATTTAAATAGACGAAATTGTATGGTCACAAAATCTATTTTGCAGTTTGGACCAACACATCTTAAGCCTGGACATCTTTCCCTTTTTCCTACCCCTTCATCACCCCATCTTCAACCATAAGTACAGTGGGCCAGTGTAAGTATATTGCTATTGCTCTACCAGCATTCTTGTTAGATGTATGATTCAGTCCCAAATTCAGTCTTGACCAAAACCACAGAGAAGATAAAATTTAAAGTTATTAAACTTTCTTCTCATTTTACAGCAGCTGAAAGAGGCATTTTTAAAGGAAGATGTTATATCTATGCCTATCTTTGATAGTTGTAACGGACTCAAGTTGTTAAAACCCAATTTTCTGTGGCTCGGTTTAAAACATAAAATCTTTTGCTTTCTTTTCAGATTTTTCTTTGTTCGTTGCTTGAACTTCCATAGGAACTTTAAAACTGAAATGAAGCTCTCTACACTGTGAGGAGATTGCTCGTTAGTGGAGCAAATACAATATTGCAACTAACCACAAATACTGATTTAATACAGAATTGATTTCTCCCTTAAAACCGTTTGTTGTTTGTTTTGGGGGAGTTATTTCGTTTTGGGGGGGATTTTGGGGTTGGGTTTTTTTTGTTTTAAATCTTCGTGGAAATCAAATTAAGAATTTGAAAACTACTATACGGGAAAAAAAGGTCCATCTTTCAAAGCAGGCCGTTTCCTCCACATTCCATAATTAATTGCAAGAGAGCGGAAAAAAAGAAAAAGGAAGAGACAACAGAGGGAGTGAGAAACGTCAAACTGTTCAGAGAAACAGTCCCACGGAGGTCTGGGCCGGTATCTCCGTCGTGGCCGGTGCGGAGCCCCGAGACCGGGATGAAGGAGAGGGATGCGGAGCGAGCCGCCAGTGGCACCGTGGCTGCGGCCCCGGCGTTGGCGCCTCCGGAGTCCGGCCCATGCGGCCCTGCCGCGGGCCGGAGAGTGGTCGAGGGGTGTTTTCCCCGCCGAGGCGAGGCGGAGAGGCTGGTGGTGGTTGCGAACGTCGAAGCACGAGTGACCCGCGCTGCTCTGGCGGGCCCCTGACAAGGAGAGTAGCAGCGCTGTGGGGCCGCTGCCACGCTTCCCCTTGGAAAGAGGAGGCGAACGCCGGCACAGGGACACAGGCCGCAGACATGGACGGGAAACGGCGCGTCTCGCCTCACGGTACCAGACGGAGGGATGTGCGCTCCCAAGCTCAGGAGCAACCCCGCACCAGCCGGTCTGGGGCATGGCGGCCCGAGGGCTGCCCTCGCACTCTTGCCATCCCCGCCCTGCAGTGCGGGCGGGCGAAATAGATACAGGCAGCACAGAAGGGGCGACCCTTATGCCGCCCTGTCTTATGCGGCTCCGGGTGTTCTCTGCTTCGAGGTCTTGAGGCTGTCGGAGGAGTCGGGAGGCCCTGCTCCGTCCCACCCCGAAGTCAGGCGCCAACCCCCAGGGCGCGAGGGGACCCCCCGCGGTCTATGGTACAAGGCCAGAGGGCGCCCCACTTTCCCAGCTGGGATCGTTGCCGAAGAGTTTACAGGAAGGTTTACAAAGAAAAAAAAAACTAACTGGAAAAAGACAAAACGTGGAAATGCACTTGCCAGAGTCAGCGGGATGATAGAAAGGAGGAATTGAGAAGAACAAACCCCGCTGCACAGCAGCAATCCCGCCGCACCGCCAGCGCATCCAGGCCCTCGCGTCCCCGCTCGCGTCCCTGCCCCGCGGTGCCCGGCAGCTCTACCCAGGTGTTCCCGAAGTCACCGGATACCTGAGCGCTCAGGAGAAGTTTCGGCTCCCTAATCGCTCCAGGCTTACTCCTCTGACACTCTGGCGGCACTTAAGGAATATCTGGGACACCGTGGTTACGAGTGATCAAAGAAGAGATAAGATCAAAGATCACTTTAATTGCGAAAATAAGGCCAAATAGGATTTTCAGAAAATCAGCTACATATCCAAGGTTGCTAAAAGCACTATTTTCGTTTAATGTAAGAGAGTGAAGTTCAGAAATTACTGGACACTTACATTCACGTGACACACATATTTCACATTCCCTTTTACTTACAAGTAACACAGATTACACAAAAATAAACAGGAAAAAATATATATGTGTGTATATATATATATATATATTTGGTCAAGCATTCATTCCACGGGTAGGCGGGAGCCGGCCCACTGCCATTATCCGATCGAGCGCCGTCCCCTCCCAAGGCTGAAAGAGGCCTCGGGTCCCGGCCGCAGGGGGCGGGGGAAGCAGGGCAGGGGCAGGGCGGGCAAAGGGGCTGTGCGGCGGGCAACGCAGTCCTGCCCCAACCCCGGGCCCCGCGGGGAAGGAGGGGCCAAGCAGCTGGGCCAGTGGCAGAGCGGGGACCCTCTGCGGGCAGAGCCTGGCAGAGCCGCCGCGACAACCGGCCGGGCCGAGCTAGGCTCTCCTTGCAGTGACACTGCCTGCTTCTGTCCGCGGCTCTCAGCTTGCGGGGAGGGTCGTGCTTACCCCCGCCGGCGCTGTCCCGGGGGAGGAGAGTGCTTGCTTTCCCCACCTACGACTGCCGCTGGCAGATGCTCTCGGCCCCTCCCCTACTGCTACAGAGCACATGGCAATGTTTTGGTTGATCAGTTTGGATCGTCGTGTTGTTGTCTTTTTTTTTTCTTTTTTTTCCCCCGAGCAAAATGTGCCTCATCTGGCTGCCTCCGAAGCAACCGCAATGTCTCGGGAGAAACTTTCAAGCGGCTTAAGGAAGAGGGGGGGAAAAAAAGAAAAGAAAAAAAAGAAAGAAGCGCCACTTCGCAGGCTGCTTAAACTCGCTGTGCCGTTGCGAGCGGGGTATACTCAGAGATAGTCGCACAGCTCCAAGCCTTTCCTTGCTGGGAAACACTTAGTCGAAGGCATTTAAAAAAAATAATCCCCATAAATCTCCATATAATGAGGCGTGCGGTTGGGGTTTAAGTCCCATCATTTTCCTGTGCTGTAACAAAGGGAAGCCCGATGAACTGGAAGGTCCTAGCATAGCAGTAGAGCTGTCAGGCACAGGTAATGCAAACAGGGACACTGCTCTAAGTACTTTGCAAGATTACAAACCATGGTCGGTTTTCCCAAGAACACCCACTTGAAGGTTTCACAGCCCGGGAAGCAACGCGCCCAAAGCTCCTTCCTCCGCCTCCAGCCTCCACACTCACACTACTGCCAGACCGAGGTCGGACTCTTGAGTCCGCGTCGCCTCGTAAATCCATGAATAATCCCCGACACGGAGGTTTCCTGCATAGGGTGGTTTGTTTTTACCGATGCTACTTGGGCAGACACAGTGGCTTACAGCTACCACGAGCAACGACCTGCAAACCCTAAGTCTACCCAGAATGATGGAGGGGATGGAGGGAGGCGGGAGCGCCGGCGCCCGGCAGCGGAGGCCATGCAAGGCGAAGGCGGCCGCGGAGCCCTCCTGGGCCGAGCGTCCCGCGCCCTTCCCAGCGGAGCCCCGTCCTGCCTCGCGGGGCTTGTCCGGCGAGCGAAGGAGCGAGGGACTACGGCGAGCTGCGCGAAGGGGGAGATGGCGGGGTCCCCCACCCTTCGGACGGCGCTGTAGAGGAGCTGGGAGGGGGCACTCTGCGGCGCACGGCAGGCGGGTGGAGCGAGTAGGAGGACCCCGCTTGCCCCGTCCCGTAGCGGGGGGCTTCACTGACGGCAAAATTTGCACTTGATAATTTTCTTAAAAGCACTTTGGAAGTCTTTGTTGAAATAGGCATAGATAATGGGGTTGAGAAGGGAGTTAGAGTAGCCCAGCCAGTTGATTACTGCCCCCAGCCACGCGGGCATGTAGCACTTACTGTCACAAAAGGGCAGGACTAGGGCCACAATGAAAAACGGCAGCCAGCAGAGGATGAAGGTGCCCATAATGATGCCCAGGGTCTTGACAGTCTTCCTCTCCCGGGACAGAGCCATTCTCCGTTTGGCCTCCGTGTTCTTCTCATTGCGTCTCTCGAAGGAGGATGGCGGGGGGGAGTCGCACGCCTCGGTGGGCAGCGGCAAGTGAGTCTTGGAGGAACTGTTGCAGCGCTGGACCTCGATGATCTCCAGGGCAGTCCCGTCCTGGCCCTGCCGCACAGCGCCGTTAACACAGGCACCAGGCTTGGGCTCTACAGTTCGCCTCCAGCCCTTGTCGGGCTCCCCGTTGCCTTTCTTCTGCACGGTGGCCGGAGAGAGGGTGAGGCAGGTGTCGGCGATTTTCTTCTTCTCCGCTTTCTTCACTGTCTTGCGGATTCTAAAGCGGGCCGCCTTGAAGATGCGACCGTAGAGCACCAGCATGAGGAGAAGCGGAATATAAAAGGCGCCGAAGGTGGAGTAGATAGTGTACCCGTGGTCCTTACTGATGGTGCAGGCATCGGGGTTCGAGCGATCCTCCGGCGTTCTCCAGCCCAGCATGGGTGGGATGGATATCAGGAAGCCGATTAGCCAGGTCAGGCTGATAAGCACGGCCGCCCGTCGGGGAGTCCGCTTGTTAACATAGTCGATGGGGTCCGTGATGGCCCAGTACCTGTCCAAGGCGATGGCGCACAGGTGCAGAATGGAAGAGGTGCAGCAAAGCACGTCCAGCGAGATGAAGATGTCGCAGATGACCTGCCCCAGTGTCCACTTGTTCAGCACCTGATACAGGGCCGCCATGGGCAGAACCAGCACGGACACCATGAGGTCGGTGACGGCCAGCGAGCCGATCAAATAATTGGCCACGGTTTGCAGGGAGCGCTCCAGGGCGATGGCCGCGATCACGCAGGCGTTACCGCTCACGGCGCACAGGATGAGAGTTCCCAGGAGCAGGGAGGTGAGTACCTGGTAGCCCAGGGTCACCTCGGCGAGGCCAAGGCTGCCTGTCCCCTCGGGGGAGCGCGGTGGGGAGGTAGTGTTGTTGGCCACATCCATGCCGGGCGGGGGGGTCGCTTCAGGAGACAGGCATGGGAAGAGGCGCCGGTCACTTGTGCGCTTCCCTGGCAGGAGGCATCGCCGCCCCGTGCGCTTTGGCCACGCCGGGCACCCCCCGCTCAACCACCCCTCCCTTCCCTATATAGCGCGGCGGGAGGCGGCCGAGGCTCGGAGGACGGCGGCTGACGGAGCCGCCCCGCTCCCGCCCATCCCCGCCGCCTCTGCCCAGCGCGCAGCCCCGGGCCGTGGGGGCGGCCCTCCCGCCGCCGCTCGCCGAGCTGCTGCCCCTTGCTCTGCTGCTCTCCCGCGCCGTTCCTCCCTGCTCTGCCTCTTCGTGCTCCCCTAGCTTTCTCCCTCCCATCCATCCTCTCCTCCTTCCCCTCCCCTTCCGTCCCCTCTCCTTCCCGCCCTCCTGCGGGGGGGTCTGGCTGGGTCGCCGTCGTCGGGCGGGCAAAGGTGTCCGTCACTCCCTCCTGCCCCCTCTTCTTTGGGGGGGACACCGCAGAGAAACTCTCCACGACTGCCCTCGCCGTCTCCCAAATCTCGCCGCAGCTCCGCCCCGGCAGCGGTGCTCTTAGCTGCCCCTGGGGACTGGTGCCGGGACGGAGAGGAAGAGAGGCGAGGGGACAGCATTCTGTGAGCAGGCAGTGCCGGCTGGGGCGGGAGGGCACCGCACCGCCCGGGCTGCCCGCGGGCCGGGAGCGCCGAGGCGGGTGGCTTCGGAGGTGCCGATCGCCACCTGCAGGCAGGCGGCGGCCGCCTGAGTGCCTGGCGCTCGGCGGGGTTCGGCCGAGAACCGCGAACACGGGACCGGGCAGACTTCGTGCGGGTCGGCACCCTCACCCCCGCTCAGCCTCCCCAGGGCGCTGCCGGGGCTGCCCGGGGAGCAGCACCAGCCGAGGTGCCGCGGGTGCAGGGACAGCGGGAGCACGGGCAGCAGCGTCCGTGGGTGTCTCGGCAGGGACTGCTGTACAGACGCCCAGGGCTCCCGCTCACCGCTGACAAGTGTTGTAGCGATGAAAGCCCGATTCGTTATGATTCATGCCATCGGCCCAGCGTCCTGCCGTCGAGGGCTCAGCTCCAGTGCGCGGCTCCTCGGCCCCGTGGTTCCCCGCTTAAAGGCGGCATCGCCCCCCGGCCCTCCCGAGGCGGGAATTGCAGTGCAACACGCTGTTGAAATCACTGCTCTCTTACAACAGTAGCAACAAAGGAAGCAACAATAAAAAAGTGGTTAAAAAAAAAAAGATTTAAAAAAGCGTTATGATTCCTTTCGACAGGAGGGTGAAAGGCTGTGTCTGAAAGTGAAATGAGAAAAATATCACTGAGAACAATCTTGAATTAAAAAGTGTGTCAAATTGACACATCATAAGCAAATCAGTTATTATCCAGTAAATAGAACTAACAATCCTGGGAAGAATCTATAATTTAGAAAAAAAAAAAAAAAGTGGTGGTGTTTACTAACTCCGTCTGTCACTGAAAGACAAAGGAAAGTCTCTAACACAACTTCTGTGACACGTTTTCTGCTATATTGCGGCTCTGTATTTTGAACGATGGGAGTTCTCTCATTCCGCTCTGTAATTCTGCAAACTCAGAAAACGCAGAAAGCCGAATAAGTGATTGCTTAACAAGAAGATTTGCTGATTCTAACTTAATCAAACTTGAAATGAGGTTCACAGACTCTGGTTTGCACACCCTCACATTTCCTTCATCTTCTCTCAGTCAACACTTAAAAATAAAGTTGAGTTCATAGCTTCAAAACGTTTGGACAGATTTCGGCCGCTTTCTCTTTACGACGGTCCAGACCGCAGTCCAGACTGCATTTCTCCAGCCCTAGGCTTGCGATTTCCTCTATCTGATCGGGACATGGAGATGCGCTAGATAAGCAGATCAGAGCTTCACCCCTGCATGCCCGTTGTCTCAGCCGATCGCATCAACATTTACACGCTGCTGAATGAAGACTTAATGCTGTTGAGACACAGATTAAATGTTATCGGTATTTAAGTATGCAGTACGCCTTCACTACCAACTGCTATTTTCTTTTTAATGTCTCCTCAAATGCATGGAACGGTTAGCTTCTTAGCAGCTGCCTCTTATAAGGTTTTCCTTCAGTGAATCTGAGTTTGTTTTTGTTGTTTAGAGTCAGCCTGATTAAAAAAAAAAAAAAGGTACAAGTCTGGGAGGCAGGGAAACATCAAGGAGATTGTCCCAGCTTTCTTGCATGGTGGTGGGCAAGCCATTATACTAATTAGTTTAACCTGAAAATAGCGTTTCAAAGCCACGGGAGATGGGGGGTTTAGGAGTCCAGAATGGCTCTTGGGGAAATCGTCTCCAGAGGTGTTTTGCGCTGACAGGGCCAAGTGAAGTCAATCCCAGACACTTTTTCTCGAGAAATCCAATCGGAAAAAGTCGACAGGGTCCTTTTTCAACTGAAATGTTTTAAATTGGCCCCTTTTTTTGTTTTTGTGTTTGTTTGTTTTTAGAGATTGAAGGTCATTTCACTTTTAATTAAATTGAGAAGCAAGTTAGGCAACCATGGAGGAAGAGGAGAGAGTAGGAGGTGAAAGATGTAGACGAAGCTAAAATTCATTCTTTTGATGTGATAGTGTCTTTAATCCTACTAAGCACTTAAAGACCGAAATGCCTGTTAAACTTTCAAGCAGCTAAATGATGTGCTAATGTCTTTAGATAACCTAGGTGAAGCACTTAGGGAAATTCTTAAATAAAACCATACTCTCATAAATCCAACCTGACTTGAGAGTAAATGAATCCTTAAGACCACACAACCTGAAAAAGTCAAATTAAAATATTAATATTATTTAGTTATGATACAGCTGCAGCAAACAAGCGGCTCCTCATTAAGTAAAAAAAAAAAAAGGCATTAACAACAGTGGCAGAAGATGCTTTTCTGGGCAATTTCATTCCACCCATTTCAAAAAAAGAAAAGGAGACCTACATATTCTTGATGCTCTCAGATTATGATTATTATCTATTTGTCAATTTAAAGCTGAAATGCCACAATTTGATGGCAGCATTTTGTTCATGTTGTTGCATGTTACACTTTGGTTTGAAAAGGATTTGAGTCTTGGGCTTTTTTTTTTGCTATTCACCACAATAAGATACAGCATTTGTGACATTTGGGAGTTTATATTCCAGTATTGGTTTCAAAGCCAATGGGTTTAAAGACTAGGGAGCTAAGGAGATTAATTGTTTGAGTTTACTGAAACTGATAAGAGTATGTACAGTTTTCTGTCAGAGAAATTCCAAACAGATGTGCCAGGACACAACCTATTCAACTACAGCCCCCTTGAATTTTCTTGTGATGCATCTTTGAAGTACAGTCAAGAGGAATTAGCACTACTCCACACTGTTTGAAACCTTCTGAAAAACACATATAAATTTAAAATACAGAGAAGCAAACAAGAATTTCATGGCTGAAATGACTGTATCATTGAAACCCATTCCTTTCACACAAGTACATGCATTTCAGTACAAGATCCACTTCAAGATATCTGCTTCCATCTTTCATAAAAGACAAAATGTTTCACAGTAGTTAAAAAAATAAGCTTTGTCCTATAAAAGACTGAAAGATATAAGAAGGTGACAGAAAAGTTTAAGGTCATTGCTAGTATTGAAGCTGCATAGCTCTCAACAAACTGTTCTGGATCAAAATTAGTCCAAATTTGGCAAAGGGTTTAGTCATGACTTTGTGAACAAGATGAACCAACCAGGAAACTAAATGATTTTCAGTAACAGCAGCAGAACTATTCCCTATGTCCTATCTCTAGTTATGGCCAGTTTGTGAAATCCTGGACATCCAACTCATACTAAAGAAGAGGGACAAAAAATTCTCAATTGAATCTTACAGCTAGTCTATTCAGAATAAATACACTACAAATCCAGTGCAATAGCACAACAAAGAAGCCTAAATTTCCAACTTTTGGATCGCCTTTGTGCCATTTCAATACTTTTTTTCCTCTTTTGGGGCATGGAGGTGGGCTGGGTAGTTCTCCATGCTGTCCTGTCCAGACAGCCAGGAGCTGGCTATCTGTGACCCACTAGGAGTTGTGCAGCACTGAGACATTCCTGTAGTTCTGCTAGAGTCATCTGGGGTCTAACAGAGGCTACAGCATGAGCACTTTACTCAGCTTTAGGGCTGAGTTAGGTCCTATAAGGTACGGAGATATCTCTCAAGCTTCTCCTTAACACTCCCAGTTCTCCAAACACAGAACAGTTGCACCCAAGGTCAGGTCTGGAAAAATCTGTCAGTTCTATGCTAGACATGCTAAAGTAGCAGTGCTTTAAAAGCATATCTTTAAGAGGTCCTGGGAATGGTACAGCTAGGTTCACAGGCTGCTAAATCAGCTTCTGGTGGCTCTGCACCTATCCCAGTCAGATTTCTCTTCCCTCTTCATTGCATATTTAGAACCATACCTGTAATCTAAGCCTGATAACCCTGGAAGTACTTCCTGGAAGAAACAGGAATAACTGGAATGCCTGTCTATTATGTTTCCCATGGTATTAACCATGTTTCCATTGCCTGATATATCCCAGTTGACGCTGTCATCATAGAAAACAGTGAGCTGATGGCAAGTTCAGTGCCCTATTTTCATGCCATTCAGCTGTCTTACTGCAACTCTTACATTAGTCAATTTTATTAAGGATAGAAACTAATTATTTATAAAATACACACATTTTTATTTGCTGCTTCTATCGTTCTCTGCCAAGAGCTCACAGTAGTAAGTAAAATTACAGCAGAACTCAGAAAAACTCACAAAAGGAGATAATTCATTCCACCTCACAGTGTTAGAAGTAATAGAAGAGTATGTGAACATTTCATCGAGAATGAATAAGTGTTATGTATATTCAAGGAACATCACTGAAGTGAAACTGTTACTAATGATGCCTGCTATCAAAATCCTGGGGCAGCTTTTATGTGACTCTAGAAGTTTAATTTTTAAAGATGTTTGCTTTCATATTCTTCCTCTGTGAAGTAAAGAGACTTTCAAGAATACTTGTTCAAACATAAGTTTTCATAAGTTTGCAGAAACTTATCAGAATTTTGGCATTGTGGGAAAAGTTGACTTTAAGCTATATTTTCTGTCTTACCCCTTCTGTTACACAGTGCAGCTGTGATGAAGAAAGAGCTGGG